ATTTTAAACAAGGACAAAAAAACAAAATATATATTATATTTTCTTTGATTCTTTCAAGGCAAACTATTGAACTTATTCCAATTCTTTCAGGTTTACACATGACTTATCAATTATGAAAGTCCCTGCTGCTGCTGTTGCTGCTGCTGCTGCTGCTGCTGATGCTGCTAGCAATTTCATCTCATACACTTCTGCAGATAAATATAGCGAAAACATTTTTCTACGTTTTTAATCACGTAAATTTATAATTTTAAACTTTTTTTTTTACTCCATTTAAGAGATTGAATTTCTTTTCTTTTAGTTTTTTTTTTTCTTAATACGAGAGTGGATGAAGTTACTCCGTAATTATCATCTCTCGTACGAGCTTACTCGATATCCATTTTATAGGATTTATAGGATTCAGGATTGTTATTTATAGGATTATTTTGTAGATGATGTCATTAGTTAGAATTATATACACTTTAAGCATTTAATTTGGTAACATAAAACCGTCATCGTGGGTTTATGGGTTTATTTTCCTGTTTTTTTCTTTTCTTTTTTATACTTCTTGTTTATGTTTTCAGCAAGCTTACACAGTATATAATGAGAAAATCCTTGCTTCTTCCATATAAAATGTATAATTCCGGTTGGTATCCTGTTAAACTATTTACTTACGAGATGCTAAATGAATCATTAGTATGTGTTTATTCCAATAAATTTTGTACTAGAAAAGAAGAAGAAGAAGAATGGAAAAAAAAGAATGAAACAGTGAGAACATGATTTAAAGAACGTCAGGAAGTAGTTGAAAGTAATTTGTCAACGAATTGATTTAATCTGCCCACTGCCAGTTACTTAATAGTACCAGTTTTTCTGGTGACCGTTCATCTTTCTGTAGGGCTTACCTGGAATTCGCATAACAAACCTATTCTTTCCTACTATCTTTACCTAAATCAGTCAATATATATTGTTTGAAGAAGAACTTCATTCTGTTATATACCAGAAAAATTCATAAACTATAGTAATTTGCATATCACTTATGACATAACACACATTCACTTAAGCCAAGGGTCAGTTATTTTTTTTTTTTCAGAATGATTTTCAAAGTTGTTTTATTAATAAAAATATATTAAATTAATAGAAAATCACAGGTAAAGGATGAAAAAAAAATCATACACAGTCCTCATACTGTATACAAAAAACTGTAAAATTTACTGTTTGGAGAAAGTTATAGGTGCATTTTTCTGTATAGGGAATTTTTACCCTATTTAAACTACTTAAAACCCTACAGAATAAGTGTTAAGTAGAGCAAATTTTACATAATTTTATAGTAGAGCATATTTTTGAATATATTATTAAAGAGAAATTTGATTCCAAGCTGACCATGCGTAACTTNGGGTCGACTGTGTGTATGTACTTTTTAATTGGTTTTCTTTCTGAGTTTACACTTTATATTGCTGAATATAAATATATATATTGAGATAAATATATGGTTAAAATATACAGATAAATTCTGTGTATTTTTATTTATATATTTGCAAAACATTATCATTCAATAAAATAAAATAAATTAAGTTTACAGGCATCAAATCATTCTATAGACTCATATATTAAGTGATTTAATATTACTTTTAATTAAAATATATTAGAATAAAGCTTAAAATATATTAATTTATATTTTATATATTTTATTTATTTTATATATTTTTTATTAAAAAGAAAGAAACTGGAGCAAACTTGCTTTTATATATATATATAAATAAATACAGTATATACATTTGTGGGGATAAGCTATAAAGATTTATGAATTGTTAATAAAAAAATGCAATAAAATTGATAAAAAGAATAATAAAATAAAATAAAAATTGTAATTTTATTTTCTCTAACCAAAAATATAGTAAAAAATGAAAGGATTTGTTGTTTTTATGATGTATAAAAGAAGAGAAAATAAATTTAAAATCAAAGATTTTGTAGAAATAAGTTAAAAAAAATTCAAGTAAATAAATAAATTTATAAGGTTTTAAAGTGTATAGACAGGAAATAAATGAATTAAAGATTTAAAGAAAAAAAAATCCTTATATTATTTAAAATGGAAGTAATAAGATTGTGTTACAAGATAGAAAAATCAAAGTTTGTATACTTTTTGAATGGATTTATTATTAGAAGAGAACAAGTACCTTGTTAGAAATTCAAAAAAAAATGATGTAAAATATCAAAAAGAAGAACATAAACATAGATTCTATTATTGATAAGTAGTAAATTATGCATCACAGATGTAAAAAAATGTGCTTATAAAAGAATAAAAATACAAGAAAATTCTTGTCAAAAAGAATCCTAGATAAAAGGGAGTTGGCCCCATATATCTTTTATATTTAGGACAAAAGCGTGGAAAAGTAATGGAGGAAGTGAGTATGAAGATCAAAAAAATGTTTAGTTTTATATATATATATAATAAAAAAAAACAAGATTAAACAATATCAATATAGATAATAATTTTGGTTTGTATATTGTTTGGTGTTCTCTTACACAATGTCAGTAAGATTTTGTAGGTTAAATTGAAAGTAGATCCTACAAGAGGATGTTCTAATTGCCATTTTTATCAGATTAATGTGTGATATTTTATATATTTTCATATATAAAAAAAAAGATGGCAATGTTGTCGCTGGACTTATTTGTTTTCATTCTTAATAATTGCTACCACTGTCTTTAAAGTCTCCAGATTGGTTCTGGTGATATTAAAGGGATGGGGTCATATCTCCCGAACAATTAGTCCGATTTTCCTGAAAATTTCTGTAAACGTTCCCACCTAACACGCAAACCACCCTGCAAAATTTCACAAATTTTTGACAAAAGGTACAGGAGTTATTAAGCTTCAAAGTGGCTGAACAAAATCGTGCCCATACTCACGCTGACATTCACACATACAGAAAAAAACCCAAATTAATTTTCATTTCAAGGTCCTCCGAGTCAAAAAATGTAAAAATCTTGGGGGTAGGTCAATTTTTTGACCGATCGCTATACTTTCCAACTGTTATATAACAACAGGGAAAGTAAAAAAAAGAAAAAAAATAGTAATAAATATATAAGGACTTTCAGGAAGACCCCATAAAATATACATGGATCAAAGTTGAGGGTTATCAGAGTTCAATCATCTTCCTTTATCAGTTTAAAAATAAGGATCAGTTACTTGTTTGATATATTCAACAAGTAATAGAATGATTTAAAAATAATAGGTTAGACAATGTGGGGATGTACCAAGAGATGGATCATTGTTTATGGGGATTTGAAAGCCATTTTTTTTCCACATTAAATTATTTAAATAGAGTGGATAAAGGTATCAGAACCACTATAGAATAACAGGGCTCATAGAGATAATAGGGGTTTCAGTATTGTAGTTATGTGTTTATGTTTAATATCGAAATTTCGATGGTAATCTATCCATAAACGTTGCTAACACGTTGATAAGAAGCCATTCCAACTCAACATCCCTCGAAAGGGAGTGGCATCATCCGACTATCACGACTAAAACACTTGGGTGGTCAAAGTACTAACAGGATATTACCCCAAGAATCCTTTATTTTTTTTTTTTTAAATTCATTTTCTATATTAAAAAAAGAAATGTACATTTTAGTAAATACTTGGTAGAAAGTATATAGAAATTATATACGCGTTAACGATAATGATTCAAGCATTTAGAGTCAAGGTGAGATGTGTTTAAAAATAAAACGGGGTGCAGTTTTTGTTGTCGCTTTTATTTTATTGTTTGGTGAAGCAATGCGACAACTGTTGGACGCCAAATGACAGGCATATGCGACACCTGGGCGTGTGGAGACGAATAATTGAGTCGAAAGATAACCTGGGTGGAGCCACAGCCATCGTTCGACAGCGCCCTTTTTTCAAGGTCAAGCGATTAGTCAGTGGTAAAAAAGCTCTCTCCTGTTTTTATACTAAATGGCTCCCTTTAACGCATACCACACCGAATAATATTTACTAAAAAAGAAGAAGAAAGTGCCAGAGATGTTAGGCAGAGCGTGTAGCTAATTCTAGAGCTGTTAACCCCCCTCCGAATATATATATATATATATATATATAAAAAGAGGAGGACTACTTGGCTATATCTGGTGTGTCGTTTGCCCTGGCGCGGTTCTTTCGTCTGAATCCATCTGCTCTCCCATCCAAAAACTCCTCCCTGGCCTAGGGGCACCGTCACGTGAACGGGGAAACGGGCGTTCCGGTCACGTGACGGCGCGCCGAATTCCTCCTATTCCTCTTTGAATAAACGAATGGGAAATAATAATAGTAATAAATAAACAATGAATAAATGCCCGTCACCCGAAGAATCTTCTCTGAACGTTTCGGGAAACCATATTGGGTTTTGACCTTCGCGACAACCTTGAACCTTACGACGTTACGGTGAGTGATTTTTATTGCTGGTTAAGCAGGCAGCCGAGCTTTTCGAATATTTTGGAAGGATGCTTTGTTTAGATTTTTTTAAAAAATTTAAGTATTTAAATATGCTAATTTAACTTCTTCAACACTCCTTTCGTGTAGATCCATACGCTTATCTTCCACGTATGTATTTTCGTTAATGCCATGCATCGGGGGGTACAGTCGGGGGTTCTTTTTTTTTTCTTGAGTCACCAACACCTGCTTTATATGTCTGCTGCGCTTTTTCTTTGTTGTAGAAGTCCACTTCCTGTTGTATGTAGGGCAAATTGCGATTTCTTTCATAGAATCTTCAGTTTAGTGAGAGGTGTGGCAATGATAACGTTCATTCTTTGCACCACTGATTACGAAACTCTGATTAGACTCGTGCTGACAGTGTTTCCCAAGCGATAGAGTATACTTGGACTTTAATAATTAGAGTTTTCCCCTAGTTATGATATTAAAAGAGAACGTAGTTACTGGAGTCTCCTGTATGCTAATTTTGCATATTGTAATCGCATTGCGTAGCTTCTTGTATGTTTATAATTTCGTTTTGATTTTACGAAATGGTAGAATTAACTTCGATTTTTCTTGTTTTTCAGAAGTTAGCGACTACTCGGAACTGGGAGTGGGCGTACGTTCGTTTTGGGCAAGCATTAACACCTCCAGGTAAGTTTGTAACCCGTAAACTTATTGCGTCCTTCTGATAAAACTTAATTTTTCGACTTTGCACCCCACTCCGATACAAAACTTGTTATTGAAACATTAGAAAAAATATATACAGTATCAATTTTATGATAAAATTGAGAAAGTTTAAGTGCATTGCACGCCTCTACGATTGTAAATACGTCACAAATCTATTCGAAATTGTGTCATTTCTACACATGTTTACACTCTGCTTGCTTTGTTGAACTGGCTATTATTAATTATTACTTGATCTAGCTATAGAAAGGCATTTCTTTTTTTTAAAAAGGAAAAAAAAAATGGGCACAGAGGCTAAAAATTACAAATGAAACAAAAGAAGTTTAGACGTATCTAATTGGTGGCAGCTGATATAAATCGTGGCTCTTGTAAACGATATTTTTTTTCCGAAATTAGATGCATTTGGGATATTCTCTTGCAAATTTACTTCATCAAATTTTTGGCAACGTTAAAGGAGCCATCCTTACGACGATACGGAAGTCGGTCATGGTCCTCAGATTCTCTCTCTCTCTGTAAACTCAGTGATTTACTGTCCAACTAGTTCACCTTCTAAATTCTGGTTATGTAGGCCACAACTACTACTCTTGTCTTTCCTTATTCCCTGCTTTGAAAGCAGAATTAATAAAACCTATGGGGTTAAACTAAATTAAATCCGTACAAGAATCTTCCTATTTTCAGTTCATTCTTATACGCGCGTGCCCGTGTATATATATATATATATATATATATATAGACATGGCGATCTTCGTGTTGCGCCCATTTACATCAATAAAAAAAAATTATATCTGCATGCATATAAATGTCGAATCTTTATTTTATTTTTAAATAATTTATTTTATTTTTGGTAGGATTTGTTTTCTAGGAATTAGATGGCAAAATAATGATTTAAAAAGAAAAAAAAAAATGGTGTTTCGTTACAAAGGGGATGGTTTACGGACCAAACTACTGTTGTGTTTTATACGAAAAGCGTAGTATCTTATAATAAATTAAAGAAAGAAAAAAAAAACACTAGCAAATTCTAAATGGGTCATGGTCACGTTTCGCTACCACATTTACATTTTGACCATTTTTGGAACAATGACATCACGTCCAATAAGTCCTGACGGGATGGGTCATATAATTGCATTCTTAGGACGGGAAGAGGTCGGTTGGGATGAGGATTTTTAACTACTTTCTTTGTCCTCGTTCCTTTTTTTTTCTCTCTCTCTCTCTCTCTAACATGTCCTACATTCAAGTATTGAGGACGAGTCTGTGACGTCACGGTACGGACAAAGATTCACCCATTCTCTCCTGATATAGGGAGAAGGGTTGGACGTTGGTCTTCGTAAGATATCCCCCCTCTTTTTTTTTATGAATTTAATAAACTTCTGACTCATTGTTTGCAACTAACACCCACGTCACGGTCGGTAGCAATGTAACGTTTTCAAAATATAATATTTTAACCCAATTTTTCTTGCGACACTATTGGACGTGTTATATTTTTTTCATCAATAACGCGAATGTATTGTATTCTAACGTTCGATATCGTACACTGTATCCCTGTATTTTTCTCTCCCTTACCCACCATATATCTTGATATCTATATATATATATCCTTAGGGCGTACACTTTCCTATCTCGTTACAATATATCTCTCCCCCCTTTCATTTTTTTGCAGTGGACTAACCAATTTTGGAAGCGCTGAAGAGGTGATGCGGGATTCTGCCAAAAACGATCAGCTGAAGGTAAGTGTTGCGTGATTGTATTTAAAATATTTCTCTTGTTTATTATTATTATTATTATTATTATTTAACGAAAGCATGCGTTTGTCTGACCGGTCGCGCTTGCTTAACTTGTTTAAATAGCGTAAAGTTTGCGGTTCGAGCTCGCACGCTGCCATATTGGCGTCACGAGTCGGTATGGCACCCATCGTCCTTGAGCCCCTTGCCAGTCCCCAACCGGTCAAGGTTGGCGAGACTGAAGTCTTGCCTTAAAAAAAAAAAAGAAAGAAGGAAAACGATTCGTAAGCCGAAGGTACCCGTTGAAATGACGTTTTGCCACGAGAACACACGAGTGTTACGAGTGCTCAGCGGGGGTGGGGGTCCAATCGAACGCGCGCGTGCCCCCTCGAGAGTGGAACGCTCTGGTGGTATTCATTTATCATCCGCTTCCATTATAGGCTGGCGGTGGGTCTAACAAAATAGATGGCACCAAATGATGACGCTATCGGCGATTCTTACACCTTCCCACAACCCCCTTCTCTAGTTAGTATTCCGTTGTTAAAGGAACTGACAGTGTCGTCCGTGTAGGAACGTTGCAGAGAAGGTCCTGGCCTTTTGGTCCAGGTCTTTCTTTCCCCCTATTTCTTATCTTATCTGTTAAATCGACGATTCGAATAATTGAAATTCTGCTTTTGTTCTTATGCGGATCGTGTGGTCGGGGAGGTTCTATATGCCGCACGTTCACCCCGACTGATTGGCACTGAGCCGGATGGCTACAAAACCAGATTTCTTCTTCTTCTTCTTCTTCTTCTTTTTTTTCGTGTGTGTGCGGTGTGTTATTTTTTATCATTTCTAACAAAATTGTGTGTTTATGACCAATATACATGCTAGACACGTTTCGGATGTACCCATCGCTATGGCTCCCCCTTCAATGGGTTTACATGCACTTCCACTTAGCTTACACCCCGATCGCGTGCTGCGGTCGATAAACTAAGAGGAAATAATGCTTCTGATTCGGGTTCAAATCCCGATTATTCCCGTGGCTTTCGAATTTGGGACAAATGCTCGGTGGAGACAAATGATTAACACGTTCATTAAAGTCGCTCTGGTTTTTAATAGTCCTTATTCTATTTGGGCACTGGGAGTGTTAGCAAGCGCGAGGCGTTATTACGCAAAATTTCTGCCGCCCCAACCATTAGCTACGCGACATCTGGGAGGTGGCTAACTCACGACTCGCATCTCCTCCCCGGGCCTGTCGGGTTCAGAGGTCAAGCGGAGGAGGAGGGAAGACACGTGACAGACGCACGCCCACCAGGGGGCAGTAATCGAGCCTCCAGTCAGGGACAAAGAAAAGGGAATGATGGGAGCGGACGAAAATGACGTCATTTGATGCGGTAAATGATGCCATATTTTTGTTATTTACGCATTTAAGATGCGAGGGAACGAATGCGTTTCTAAACCACATTAAAAGATAAATGATCATTATTTTTTTTTTCTTCTAAATTATGAAAATTTCTTCAACCTTTTCTCATTTTTTATCATCACATATTTTCATTTTATATATATATATATATATATATTTAAAAAAATCTCCCCCCGGTTTAATACCCTCTTTCAGGACATCTATCTTCAAAAATATTTTGGCATATTTTTTCCCTCCTCTCAGATTTCTTTAAATTTTCTACGAAACGCCATTTTCTTCTCAATTTACCATCACTCTTTCATCATTTATTTACAAGGTTTAAAGTTCAGGACACAATTTTCACGCAGAAAAACCACACGTTCTTCCCCCTCCACCCTTGCAATATATACATATATATATATATATATTTTTTTAACACAGAAAACGCCATTTCCGCCATATTTTTATATTAAATTTCAACGCCATTTTCTGCAATTAAACCCGAGAAGATTTCTTTTTTTTTTTTTTTTAAACTAGTCTACTAGGTGCATACGTGGCATTAATTCTCCATTCCTTCCCCTTTAAGTTACTCTGTTAATTACTCCCGTAAATGCAATTAAAATAAATCTTTTGTCGTCGTCTCCTTCTTCACTTAAATAAACGTAGAGAGAGAGAGGAGGGGGCATAAATTGCTTAACTTAGTCTCATTAACAGGTAAAAATAATTATGCCATAAATTTTCCTTTTTCGTTTCCTCCATTGTAACCAAAAATTGAATTTATAACAGCCCACAATGAAAGTTATGTGTGTGTGCGGCAATAACAGAGTTCCGTAACCTTTCCGTGTATTTTTTTTTTTTTCTTTTTCTTATTATTTTTAATTAGAAGAGTGCTTTTGGATGTTTACACTTTGGGAAAAATCATTTTCTTCTGTCAACATATTGCTAATTATACGGTTTATATCGAGTAAATTCCAAAGAATTGTTGTGTAGAGCGGCGGTCACTTGTTGCACTTACACACACACACACACACACACACACACGACGTTAAAAATCGATCCCGTTTGGATGATAAATTCCAAGCTTTCGTATCGATTTCGCTTATAATACTGCAGTCGACTTAATGTTAATATTATTTTCTTTCTACGATATAAATCGCTTGCTAAATTTACTTTTTACACCATAAAAATCTACATAGAACAATTACGGTGTTACAATGGTACCAAACAGCGCCACACGGTGGGTAATAGAGGCCCTAGGGCAATATATATATATACAGTATATATATTGGTACCCCTATAGGATATTAAATTATTATATTAATGTAAGGCAAATTATATAGGGGTTCCTCATCTGAGTATCCCATTCTAGTATTCTGGATAAATTCTACTTATTTATTACATATTTTATGATAAACTGATACTGAAATCATAGGCCATTAATTTATTTTGTAGATATTACATGTGGAATTAAAGGTAAAAAAAAGGCTCTACTCATTTAAAATCTATTGTAATGTAAAGAATGCTAAAATACTAGGCACTATTGGCAGGCTATTCTGCTTATTTAAAGGCTATTTTACATGGAATTAATATAAAATAGTGAATTAAGATAGTTCTAGTATCATTTCCATGTTAATTGACTAGCTATTCTATATGGAAATGAAACTAGGAATCAATTAAATTATCAAATTATAAGAGAAATCTATGCTAAAACTTTATTTTTATAAACAGAATTTTAGCATTATTCTTGCATAAAATATCTAAACTTTTTGCCTATGTTTTTCTATAAGATAGAAGGGAAAAAACATGCTGTTTTACGCTTCCTGACTTTACTTTCTCACCGGCAAAACAAATTGTCTCATCAGAAGAAATTAAAACAAATAAATTATTATTTTAGTTGTTTAATTGAAGAAATTTATAGAGAGAAAAACAAAGGAGACAATTCACTTTATATGTAAAGCTGGGCATCAATAGGATTTATTATTCTTTATAATACTAAATGATGGTATTATTGACATTATTTTTCTTCTAGAGGTGATTTAGCAACTTAATTTTAACATTAATTTCATTTTTCAATGTGTTTTTAAATAAAATAAATGTATATATGATTCAGTAAACAATGAGAATGATATTAGAAATCTCAGGCCATACATTTATACACTTTATATTCCTTACTAATGATAAATTATATTAATTTTCTAACTCTTCCAGATGAAATTAATGACAAAATTCATTAATTTACTAACTATTCTGATGTCAAACATGTTAAAAATGTTAAAATTCTAATCATTCGCTGGCTCTTCTACATGAAAATCATGCCGAAATCCTTTAATATGAAATTTATGCTTAAAATTCTAATAATTGGGGTTAAACAATACAGTTTTAATACCTTTTGTTTTTTTTCTTTATTGTTTAAATCATAAATGTTGACTTTATTTTTTACTAAACAAAACTTTAATTTATTCTGTAGGCTATTTAGGATATAATTGCATAATTAGTATGATGATTATCATATAATAATAAAAATATATATAAATATAACCATCATTTCTATACAAAATACAAGATTTTTAGCATGAAAAATGTTGAAAATTTATATCTTTTGTATATAAATACAGAAAATATAAAGAAATTTTCAATATTTCCATGCTAAAACTCTTATATTTTGTATGGAAGTGTTGTTAATATGTATGTATTTTGATCATTACATAATAATCATCAATGGTTTCTATATTTAGAGTAACATTTTAGGGTGTATTCACTATCAACAGGGTTGAAATTCATGTTTATTTAGTTCTGATAGTAAAATATGAACTAAATATTAATCCATTTAGGCCAAAAGTGTATGAAAGTAAAGTTATACAATGATAAAAACTCATAAGAAGTTTATCAGTTTTTATTTGCTATCTCCTTATGTTTCTTGTCCAAACAGTTCATCACTTCTTTTTATTTCTCAACCCCCCCTCCACACACACACACATACACACACACATATTACTGTTATCTTAGTGGAGGGATCATGCAAATTTATCAATGAAAGTTAATGTAATAAGCACGAGTTATTCCTTAGCCTCTTTTTTGTGCGGTCTTTTTAAGGTTAATGCATAAATATAAACGTTATATTGAGAAGGCATGTTTCGCCTGTCGCCGGGTGCGACGTCTTTTTAGGGTGTATCCAGGTCTTTTTCAAAATCCAGCCCGCCCGCCTTGGGTGGTGAGGCTGATAAAGTGGAATGTATTGCGTGTGCCGACGACCCACAACTTCCTCAAAAATGTTCCTCAACTTTTTCGACATTTTCTTAAATGTCGGTGTATCAAGAGGGATGCCCTTCTTCTTCTTCTTTTTTTTTAATTTTTCGAAATGAGAAGAATCCTCCATTCTTATGTCTTTAGATAGGCGCCACCCTTCTTTTCATTACAATAGTCTGTGGCCGGTTTTCCGACCCCGGACAGCACTGGGTGTGGGTTTTGATGACGGCAGCCACGTGCCGCCACATAGAGCACGCGTGGCGCTCAAATTAAATCCTGACCTTGAAGGCTAAGGAGAGGCACAGGCCACACCCGTTCGCTTTCTCTGTAGACCATGCTGTGACTTTGCTCAGACGCTTTGGCGATTTTCGAGGTG